CATCAATTAATTCAATCTTCATAAAAGAACAGGAAGATGTTGGAGAACTGATGATTTATGTGGGCCTCATCTTTGAAACGTATTTCCATAGTGACACATAAGAATTATTATAATAAAAGAATGCCTTATCTGTAGAATGCAAAGCCATTAGTAATCCCATCAATTAAATCTTCACAAAACAACAGAAATTCCCAAAAAATAAAGTAACTTTATAGAAAAGCCATTCCGACAGAATGACAAAGAGCACGAAACATCGAAGCGTCGCTTCCTCCAGGAAGAAGAATTTCCTGTCAATAAAACTAGGTCCGATGGGTAGCCATAAGATTTGTTGCCGTTAAGAGCACATCCATGGGTGAAACAGGATAGATTGCTGTTCGAAGCTGTCACTTCGATCACCCTTCGTTGAGATCTCAAACGTCTCAACCTTGAGAAGTTAGCTCGATCGAGCGTTAGAAACACGAGTCAGTTGGTCATTGTGTTTGTCGAGGACCCGGTGAAATTGGAACGAGGGAAGAATTGCGAATCCAACAGGGGAAGTTGAAGTTGAAGCTCGTTGGGAAGTTGAGCAACTCGAGGATGTGGGTTAAGTTCTTTTTGGTTTGTTGTTGGGGAGGGCCAAGGTACGATGCTGTTTATGGTTGTAGATTTTGTTAATAGGATGTTAGGATCCATCGTACAAATCGGTTGATCATTTATTTTGTAGTTGAAGGGTGAATGTGGCTTTCATAGAGTAATTTTAGGGATATAAGTTAGATTATAAGGTTAGGATATAAGGTTAAGTGGATGGTTTGGTGTTAGTCTATCTTGTTGTATCTTTAAATTAGGAGTTCATGTGATATGTTATAATGCATCGCACAAAGAATTTTAAAATATTAAAAGTTTGATGCAATTTGACGTAAAATACGTATGATCAATTTAAAGCATCTATCGTTTGCTCAGAGAAATATCTCAACCTTTAAACGAACAAATTAATTTGATTAATACCCAAGTCATAAACTGAAATGAAGCGGAAGAAAAAGAGTGAAATCGAACCGGACAAGGAAACACAGACAAAGGTAAAGAAGGAACAATTAATACGATCGACATCAAAGGACCTCAATATCCGAACGAATCAAGCAATCAAACGTGAACTGCTAAAGCAAGATAGAGCAGAAACAAAAGAATTAATACGTATCGAAACCAAAGAACGTGGAACAAAGAATGAAACATCGAATCCGCTTCCTTTAGTTTTTATTCGATCCAACAGGCTCGATGGAAGGATTTATTATTCTCCACGGGCAAAATGGCCACCATACAGAGAATGATCCCCTTTTCGTGCACGAACACACGCAGAAAACATCCCCTGTCTATCCTCGAAGCCCTACTTCATTGCTCCCCGGAGCCCTTTTCCCCCATTTTATCTGCTTCGCGCCATTTTCTTTGCCTTTCATGCTGGAACAAACTTCGTACGCCCCTGCTTTCGCACGATTTGCGACGCGAGTCTGCTTCGAATCGTTAAACCTCATTTTCCGATGATGTTGGGTTAAAAAATGCAATACTTGTTCACAATTTTATTATTCGTAACTATGGAGCAAATGGACAATAATTTTTTTGATATTGCGAAATTGTAATTGTAGAAAATGGAGATCGATATTAAAGTCATGTAATATTTTTGCAATTATTTTGTTTGGTTCATGTATGTATGTTTTATGTCCTGTGTGCATATGTGATGTGTGAATGTAAATGTATGCATATGTGTATGTTTATGTATGTATTGCAATGTATGTTGTATATAATGTTTGCATGCATATGTCATATAGAATGTTTGTATGTCATAATATATGTTATATAGGTATGCACACATGTATGATATGTGTCACATATGTATGTTTGCATATATAACATATTATACATCATACAGGAGTACGTATGATATATGTCACATATCTACACATGTGACAAAAATGTGTATTATAATATATGTTATATATGTATGCACATATGTATGATATGTGTCACATGTGTATGTTTGCATGTATAATATATTCTGTATCATACAGGAGTACGTATGATATATGTCACATATCTACACATGTGACAAAAATGTGTATTATAATATATGTTATATATGTATGCATACATGTATGATATGAGTCACATATGTTTGCATATACATATAACATATTATACATCATACATGAATGTATGATATATGTCACATATCTACATATGTATTTATATCACAGCATAACTACATAACATACTTAATAATTGATGTACCTAAAAATACACACTTTTTAAACATACATTAAACACATGTATAAATGCACACAATTGAACAAATGTTCGTACAAAACCGTCGACCTTGAATGTATCAATCTTTTACGCCATATACGAAAAGGTTTTCTGTGTCCATAAAGCGATATACATACGTAGACACAACGATATCGTGTTCCGCGAGGAAACTCGCGATCGTTCCTCGTTCTTGACTTATTTATTCGGGCCAGGAGCTCGTAAATGAGCACTCCGAGTGTGGCCCACGTAGTATGTACACAGTATGGCGACGATACCGAAAGAAAGTCAAGGGGACGGAACTCGATCCTCGTTAATACAACGAGGCTGAACCACAAGCGAAAAAGGAGGACGTGCAAGAGTTATGCTCGACGTGCAATTAACGACGCTCGAGTACGAACGTCTTAATTATTACACTCCGGCAACCTGCGATACCGATTGTTCGCGAGCTTTTGCCGTTGCAAAATATTCCGAAAAATTGCTACGCTTATATTTGGGTTTATATTTGTTTATTAACAGTAAGTGGGATGGACAATTTTTAGATTAAAAATAAAGAGAAACAATGGAGGGATGAAATATAGTTCTTGACTTTGACGAAGGTTCAAAGGCTTCTCAATAATTTCTGTAATTTAAAATGAGGGAAGTTTTAAAAATAGGTAACATACGTAGTCACTCGGTTCATTAATCAATTCTCACATAAAACATCTAATTTATCTGAAAAATTATCTTTGCGAGCTTGTGATTTTTTGAACGTGTCCTAATTAAAACTGATCATCGACTGATTTGGAATCATTGAACATGTTCCTCACGAAGTACCTTTACCGTAAGAAAGCTTTAATGAACACATGGTCTTCCACGGATGAAAAGCCCAGATAAGAATGGAAAAATCTAGAGATTTAATCTAACGAATGAAACGAGGATCTATCGTGCGGAAAGCGTTCGCGATACTAGCGGAGAGGAACACGCTCGAGTACAAACTCCATTCAATTTCATGATCCCAGAGGGTCCGCGTGCAATCAGCGATATCTCGAGACCCTGCGTGGTGAAACTCGCGGAAAAGCTCGTATCGATCCCGGAAAATTGTCTGATACTGGGTCAAGTCGCGTGTATTTACCAGCCGATCGCGTTAACTCGCTACGAGCCGTAACGTTTATGATTTGAATAGCGTCGATTCCCGACGGAATATCACCGTTCCCTCGTGATTTTTATTCAATCGCCGATCGAGATTTATTCTAGACGTGTAACTTCGCAGGTGGAAAATTATTAACGTCCACGTGTTACCACGGTGGATGTTGATAACGTGTTATTCGTTATAATACGGTGTTGGATATGCTGATGCCTTTGGGGATTTTTGATGAGAGATTTATATGGTTTCTTTTGGGATCGAAGGTTTCTTTGGTTTGGGAATGGGGGTTTGGGAGGTTAGGCTTTTTGGAGGGGTTGTAGTTGGAGGATTTGGAAATTTTACAGATATTTGAGAATTTGGAAATTTTGAGGTGGAGATATTTTGGAATTTGGAAATTTTGCAGTGGAGATATTTGGAAATTTTCAAATTTTGTACTAGGGAATTTTGGAATTTGGAAATTTTGTACTAAGGAATTTTGGAATTTGCAAATTTCGTACTAGGGAATTTTGGAATTTGGAAATTTTGTACTAGGGAATTTGGGAATTTGGAAATTTTATACTAGAAAATTTTGGGATTTGGAAATTTTATAGTGAGGAATTTTGG